TTTCCAAGTAAGGTGGTGTCGTTTCTTGTGCGAGAAATTCGTGCTTGACAGAAATAGTCCGTGGTCAGCGCAGAGTTGAAGTAGGCGATCTCCGTTGTCCGTCCGGTTTGCTGGGATTGCATATGGTCCACCTTTTTGACTTGTCCAGGCATCCCACTTGAGCATTAAAGTATCTGGAGACTAACACGATTTCCGTTGGTTGAGCACTTTGGAACAATTGAGAAAGATCCTTGTATAATTCATATTTGGTTTCAGGTGTACTGCAGTCGGTCGGTGCGCACATCGGTATGACGAATAAGCATCGACTCTTCGTTCTGTAGTTGTTCACCAGCACTGAGACGTACAGCGCACAGTCGGCTACTGACTGGAATCCAGTTAAGAAGCAAGCGCTCAGTGTTGGCACTTGGTGCAATCCCAACACCAGCAACACCGCGAGCTTCGGATGCCGAATCGCCTGAAACACGGCGATTGAAGCATCAGTATGAGGCTGGATCTGGAGAACGCAAGTTGGTGATTGAAGTAGGGGTCTTGCATGCGTGTTTCGGAGACAAAGCGTGCATCTAAATTTAAAATTTCAAGGGTTCTAGCCATGAGTGCTTCTTGACCGATTTGGTAGATCTGCGGAAATTGAACGCGACTAAGTGAAAAAGGAGTTTTCGCTCCGAAAATTCTATAGCGACTGACTGTTCAGTCTTACTGGTAAAAAGCCTAGTGATCTTCGATGAGTGGCGCAAACAAGAAATGTCTGGGATTGTTCGGGATTGGGAGGAAGAACTTGACAGATGGGAAAGAGGTTTCTCCAAATGGGTGCCTAAGACTTTAAGGCACGACATACTTTGCGGTAACCCACACCGACGAACGGTTTGTTCTTTGGGAACCTCAACCGCAGCTTTTGACTCAAAAGTCTGACCCAGAAGGCAGTGGGGCGTAGATCTAACGCGGGTGCGTGAACGGAGCACCCATGTGGGAGCTTCTAGAGACCTGTCAGGCAAGGCCCTCCGGTTTCGGTTCAGTATATTTTTCGCCGGTCCGCTGTTTGAGATTATCCCTTGGTCTCATTCACCCAATGAGACAAGCAGAACGTGGACGTGACCACTTTATTGCCTGGGGACTGTCCAGCTCGGGTGGGCGGTAGCTGTCCATCAAGAGTAAGCCCCAGGTATCCCGCTCCTACATACATCTGGCGGGTTTTTCTCAACGGTGAACTGCCACCTCATCGTGTTTATTTGCTGGAGTAAACTCTCCAGGGGCTGATGTGGATAGACAGGAAACCAGGTGCCCGTGCAGCTAACCTTGTGAGCTTGAGCTTCACCTGGCATGTACCCATTGACCTTTCAGGTATGATTGGATCTGCGGCTGTGAGGAGCCATCCTATCTAGCTCGCAGAGTGATGAAGGCACGCAAGCCATAACACCACATTAAGGTGCAGTGAACCTCTGTAGCCAACACACAAATCATACAGTTTGATCTTGCGTAAGCACATATTCACACATTCTGATGTGATAAGAACTAACAAGAAAAATTTTATTGCTGTCGATTCACTGACAGCCTTCAGTTCTCTCAACCTATTCTGCGTGCATTTCTTCATGTTATGTTACTACGTCGGCTTGCGATCTCCACCAGGTTTTTTCTGACATGGAGCGGCAACTGTAGATAAAGCGCAATGTGACAGACGACTGTCATAGGTACACAGTACGTATTCTAACCGGCGAAGATAACTGATTCNCTGATTCAGATGCTACGGTTTACCTCGGTATTACTACCTCACTTGTTCCATCTTACACCAGGCAGTGCAAATATTGACTGTAAAACACTGTAGTTGATGAATGCTTTCCACATAAAAACTCATGTTCTCGCAGCCTGATCACACTATGATGCCAGATGAAGATCCACCCATTCACCGGGCTAGGGTTCACAAGCGATGTTCGTTGCCCAATGCATTATACATCTAATTTCATTCCACTATTCGTCTACTCTTTCAAGTTACGAAACTGTCTTTATGAGAGGTACAATGTTTCTATCTGGAACCACGTTCGAGCATACCCCCAATCTGTACTAACTAGTCATATACGAAGCCGTGCAGTGCTTCATTTCAACTAGGATCTCCCTCTTTCTCTTATACTTTTTGGTTAGTTGTGCCTTATATATATCCTAACTTGTCATGGTTTCATTTTCGACAGAATCCCAGCCACGGCTGCTCTCGCTTTGGCACTGACTAATAACCCCGGAGAAGTACTGGATATGCCAGTGGATCCCAATGAACCAACCTATTGTATTTGTCAACAAGTCTCCTACGGCGAGATGGTCGCATGCGATAATCGCGATTGCCCTATTGAATGGTTCCATTTTGAATGCGTTGGATTGACTAGTAAACCCCGTGGTCAGTGGTACTGTCCGCAATGCACAGCTGAAGGAATCAAAGAAAAAGACGACTGAAACGCAATTTGTATACCTGTAATTGTACTTGTAATTTTGTACATAAAAAAACAAATAAATGACTGACTGTGTTACAGTTTTGTTCTACACTATACTTTCTGATTCATTCTTTTCTAAGTAATTCTCATATTAAACTTGAATGTGAATATTTTCCGTTTGGCTTTAGCCGCTATAATGTCGACACCGACTAGACGCAACCAAGGCGTTCGAGCTCCTTTTAAATCACCTCTGCGTCCGAATTCTTCCAATGTAGCGCCACATTTTGGGTCATCAGAAAGTCGCATAGAAGACGCGGGTCAAGTGAGTTCCAATTGCTTTCATCACGTAGTTGTCACAGTTGGTAACGTTTATCTGAGTTTGGTGAATACAATTGACTTGCACAAATACTGTGGTTGATGGAATCTAGACAACACGTAAGTAGGCCTCCCAAGGCCTCAGTATGGTTGGGGGTGGGCGTCTAGGGTTGCGGCTGGTCACTCTGCCCTTGCACCTCACGAAATGCCCCCATACAACCAAGCGTCTCAAATAGTCTCTGCTGAGGAAGCCCTATTCACTACCTTCTCGCGGCGGAGGTGTTTTCCCACCAAAGTGAGAGGACGAAAAGCCGATATCCGGGGCTATAGCCGGGTTGGTGGACCACTGGCAGTTCACCTGGGGGAGCTGGCCAAAAACCCT